CCACCACTATCCGCCACCTTCTCCCTCGTTCCCGTTCTGTCTCGCTTTTTTTTACAACCCCTTTCTGCCCCTTCTTTCGTTAGTCCACATTCAAAGCTCACGTCTGCCCCTTAGCTACTTCCTGTCCGCAGTCTGGCTTATCTTTCAGCACCTGACTCCTCCTCGGCCAAAGGAGTTTTTCATGCGTGAAGGAAGTAAAGTTCCGCGGCTGCTTCTTCGAATACGATAATTGTCATCTCGCGAACTTTTCGGGTCTCTCTTTCGCGGTTAAGGGAAGGAGAAGGTCACTTACCTTCGGATGTGTTCTCCTGGGAAACGCTACTTTCGGGTCGATCTGTAACAAAAAGCGAAAATACGAAGATTAGTTAGGTGTTTTATAATTATTGCACGAAATAGAGCAAGGTCAAATGTTAATTTAACTTCGCCCTTTGCTTATTCTGTTTTTATACCTGAAGTACATTTCACGAGTAGACTACAGAGCTTTATGCGATTATAGTATACCAAAATATGCAAAATACACGAATGTAACGTTGGAATCTCTTGAGCTACGTAAGTAACAACACTAATCAAAACGTACTATATTACAGTCAGTAAGACTGTAACGTTATTTGCATGTATTTCGCATATTTCGGTATGTTATAATTGAATAAACATCCGCAATTTAGTCATAAGTGAAAAATATTTGTTCATCTCACGTAATCTTCAAAAATACCTAGAACCAGGGTAAGTGACTACTTGCAAAAGCATCGTCAACTAAAACTTCCTTCCTGTAAAAGCTTGTGACTTTCAAACTTTCATCAGTTGCTGAATTATCAATTTATTCGCAAATATTCGCAAGTGTAGAGTTGTTGCACATAGTTATAGGAAAATTTATTTTAGCTAGTTCACTCGTCGCAGAATCGAATCTTCATTCGATACTACCCTAAGCCATACAAATGAAATTGTAAAATAACTGCTGGAAGAATAAGAATAAAACGAGGAGAATATTATTCGAGCTTAGTACGTAACATCGGCGAAAGAAAAATTTCCAAGAATACCCTAGATTGACTGACATCGACGAACACGGAAATGGGCGTTGTAGGAAAACAGCGGAAGGGAAAGGGTAAACAGAGAGTAGCAGCACGGGGCGAGGAGGAAGCCTCGTGAAGGAAATGGAACGAACGGAAACGAAGGAAACGACGGTTTTCCCAGCTGAAACTCCCATTACAATTAATTACCGGGTAATAAAAAGTAGGCGCTTGAATAGCCTGAATAGAGAGCCGCGAAGGGGTTACGAAAGAGGATCTCTGGTACAGGTACACGTCGGTTAGCTTCGAGCAACCGAACTCTCGGCTTCCTCGTCCCTTTCCTACGCTTAGTTTCCTACGTTCGCCCATGGGGATGTGCAACCAGGTCGAATGTAACCGCACCTTACGCTCTACGTGGCTAAAAAGCAAAAACCCATCCCCGTAGTGGCTGTGAATGGTTAGGGGACGCCGCGAAGCCATGGAATTCCCAGTGCAGCCGCGACGTAAATTCTCGCCGCGAAATCGAGCCGCTCGAATGTTCGTTCCGGCTTCCCTCGTGACCTTACTTCGAACTTACGCGCGTGAAGCTACGTGAAAATGTACGTGACCGCAGAGGCGTCGTTCAGACGGCCAGCCATTCGAGAAGTTCAGGCTTCGCGTGGCCAAATCTTGGAGAACTCGCGACGAGCGGAGCCGGGCTACGACGATTCCCCGTCATCTTTGCGCTCGCTCGAATATTTTGCCTGCGTATCGCACCGTGAACGCGATAGCAGAGGAACGCGACGAATAACAATTCGACGGGATCCAACGGTCCAACGACACTTTTTCCCGGCAATTCACTGAGTCAAGCTGGAGAATTTGGAATTTAGAATTTCTACGATTTCAGATATTTCGCGAGAATAACGAAGAGTGTTTAAGTGAAGATGTTTTAGAGAAATTGTCACATTGAAGAATCTTGGTCTCGAATGAAAAAGATAATTCTGGTGGAATTCCAAGAGATGAGATAGAATTATTTCGCTGCGAATTACAACGTTCCGAAACCCTATCGCCGTGTAAGTTGAAATGTATTTTCCATTCAGACGCTGTTAGAGATATTCTCGCTCGCGTACACCGTGAACAACAGTTCTAGGCATACATTAAACATTTAATTTCCGAACGGTCGCTGGGAAAGCTGATTCGGCGACTTTTTATCAGGGAACAGAGTTCTCCGTCGCATTGCCAAAAGTGGGTTAGTTTTTCTGTTTTTATCGTTCGACTGAGGACGCGGAGTTAGGAGATTTTTTATCACGTGAAATCCTGGGTCACTACTGGCGACGAAAACATTTCCTTTATGTATTCAGCTTTCAAGGATTTATGCGAAGATTGAATAAATTTCTACCGCGAAAAAACTTCCTAACGTTGCTTCTTCTTCGATTGTATTACGTATTATATTTCCTATACTTTGTCTAAAACAATTCGATCTGTATGCAGGAAGCATTGACAACGGTTTCACGGAAGAAGTGCCGTGAATCGAAGGATGATTTATGATAATCCCGCTTCCTTAGCAGATCGTTCAGGTTTCAATTTTTCACGAGTCTCGATCGGGATCAATTACCAGGAAATCCACCCACTTTGTACGTGTTACTCGCGAAATCTATTCAATTCGTTACTACGGCGACTGCCACGGTATCGAATAATCAGCGGTTTTCGCTACAAATCCCTTGGAACACCTTCTGACGTTCCGACGCAACGTCCTAATTAAGATAAATGTCTTTCAGATAATCCAAAGAGTTAAAAGACGCTTCGTCTTTCCCACCCAGACTTGATAAATGAAATACACAACCGTAATTATGCGCTGCTGTCTTTCATGTACGACTTGAACGAATATTATACTTACAGAGGCAATCGACAATTTTGATGTATGCACGTTCTGTAGAATTACGTATTAATATTGTTACAGACGCCGTTTTAATTAATTGCTGTGTACAAATATTGATGTGATATTAAATTACGTAGTAATATCGAATATGAACTGCTAATTCAGTCTTCTCAGTATTGTTAGTAGAATGTAAAATTTTGCAAAACAATTAATTATAGTTAAATTTAGCGGTATAATTTTAGAAATATTAAACTGTTCGTTGGCAGCTGCTCTACTTTCAGCGAGAACATTATTTCTGTTCATAAAAAGTTGATACAATTCGATGTTTCGCTGAGAAAAGTGGAACAAGTAGAATTAGCACGTATTTTGTCAGACATAGGCAAAACTTCACGTCTATTAACTTCTATATTTATCTGATTAATTTTTGCTTTAGAGAATCATTTGCTCATCAACATTTAGGCAAAAATAAATCGTCATATTCTCCAATTACTGTACAATATTATTTACTACCTATTATGCAGGCAGAATCGTATAAACTCCACGTCTAATAACTTCTATATTTATCTGATTAATTTTTGCTTTAGAGAATCATTTGCTCATCAACATTCAGGCAAAAATAAATCCTCATATTCTCCAATTACTGTGCAATATTATTTACTACCTATTATGCAGGCAGAATCTTATAAACTCCACGTCTAATAACTTCTATATTTATCTGATTAATTTTTGCTTTAGAGAATCATTTGCTCATCAACATTTAGGCAAAAATAAATCGTCATATTCTCCAATTACTGTACAATATTATTTACTACCTATTATGCAGGCAGAATCGTATAAACTCCACGTCTAATAACTTCTATATTTATCTGATTAATTTTTGCTTTAGAGAATCATTTGCTCATCAACATTCAGGCAAAAATAAATCGTCATATTCTCCAATTACTGTGCAATATTATTTATTCACTATTATGCAGGTAGAATCTTATTATAACACCTGCTATCCCGTTATATTTACCGCGAACTCTGAGAAAAGTGGAACAAGTAGTACTAATCCGTGTATGGTCAGAAACAATCAAAACTCCACGTCTAATAACTTCTATATTAATCTGTTCGATTTTTGGTTTATAGAACCACTTGCTCGTCAACATTCGGGCAGAAATAAATTGTTCAATTCCCCAATTACTATACAACACTATTTGCTATCTCTTATGTACGTAAAATCTTATTACAAGACCTAGTATCGCATTATGTTTACCACGAACAGCTATGAATCACACTTTTCCTCTCCTCACGCCTGAAAGTTGATCGTTGTTTAATCGAAACGCGCACCGCGGAGGAGAATTTTGTCGGGGAATTAATTTTAAACAAAGCTCGCGCGGCGTTCCCAAAGTTCAGCTTCTTCGCGGGTGCTCCGTCCGCGATAGGCAAGGAGGAAACGCAGCGCAGAGGTGGAAGCCACGAACGTGGTAATGACAAGCAAGAAAACCCGCCTCTATCCACCGCCGCCGCCGTCGCCGCCATCCACACCGACGACGTCGTTCCTCTCCTGTGCTTTCTCCCTTTCTCCTGCTCTCTGCTCTCCCGCGAACCACCCCGTTTGCATAATCCCCTACGGCAAAGTTCACACCGGTCGCTCGCACGCCCCCGGACGCCCTGGAGCACGTCAAGCGGCCCGACGTCGACAGCTACAACGACGAGGGTGGAGAAAGTCTTTCGGTTCTCGCCTTGCCGCGCCGCCGCCTCTGCCGCGCGCGATTCTTCTTCTTCTGACCCGCCTCGTCGTCGAGGAACGAGAAGAAGAAGAAGTGTGCAGCGCGAAAGGAAGAGGAGAGTCTCGAGCGAGAACTGTGCTACCGGACCCTTTACAACGACTTGCGATGATGGAACCTGCGGGCAAGTTAAGTCTACACGGCGAGATTAACTGTTTTCTGCGTGGAACATTTTTAGCTGCGGTTGGTTCTTGCCGGTAGGTGAGAAATGGTCAGTTTTATGAGAAATTGTGTATCAGGTTTGTCACGATGAAGATTAGATGCCTTTTTTGTAGGATACGCATACGCCCCACTCTGGTCTTTCCGTTCAGGCCATCTGATATTTCGGCCTTTTCCTTCCGCTAACTTAAACTATGCAACTACGGCGATAATTTGTTAAAACAAACATTTTTCCTTTGCTCTATAGCATATCTTAAACGTTACCTTTTTCTCGATAACAATGATTTTTGCAATCTTATAAATATCGGAAGACATATAGGGCGAAAAGCAAAACTGTTAGTCTCGACAATGTGGGACGCATACGACCCACGCGGCGTGAACGGAAAGTCGCCGAAAATCGGTCCGGCACGGAATGTGTTAATGTATTTTTATGTTATACAAGACCTCGCAGTTCATTAAAGATTGGTTCTTTCAAACCATGTCGCTGTTTAGCCATTTACGAGAGGCCCATATACCTATTGTCCGGTAAAATTAATTTTTT